GATCACAGAGCCTGCCGAGGCTATAGAATGACTTTGATTGGTGTTTAAATAGGTGGGCCTACAAAAACTATCAGCCCAGGGGCCTGATGGCAGGTTAAGGCGGGCCTGGCTGCAGGCCTTTTTCACAAACTGTGTCTCAGGGCTTCTTAACATTTAACAACCTATTATGCAGTGTTCTTAACTTTTCTGTCCTTCCCCACTCTGAACCAGGTGGGCCTTCCAAGCCCCACCTGTCCTCATCGCTCCAATAAAATGGTAGGCCAAGCTATAAAATTGTCAAATGTATCGTTCTATAACAATATAAACAATATGTCTATAGCAAATAACATCAGTTCAAACAGAGAAAATCAATAACGAATAACAGTCAGAAATAGAGAAAATAAAAGGTGCAAATGGTGGCCATCTTGCCTCAAATGTGGCTGAGTTCCAAAGATATAGAAAAAGGGCCCACTATGCAATTTGTGTTATCAATGGTAGGTCAAGCTTAAAATTGTGAAATGTATTTAAATAACGTCAAGTTCTACATCTTTTAACAAATAACATCAGTCAATAATAACAAATAAAATCAATAAGAAAAGTCATCCACTTCAATAATAACAATTCAAATCAATACCAATAACATCAGTCAATAATAACTAATATCATCATAACAAATAAATCAGTTCAAAATAGAGAAAATCTATAACAAATCAATACATTCATACATTCAGGAAATACATTCAGCAATGCAAATGACCCATTGAATGCATGAGTCTCATCACTGGATTATTAGTGACTGCAATGAGCCTGTCTTGCACTACACATCTTTTCAAAACGCGGTTGGCAGGCTTGATAATGCCACTCTCAATCTCGTGCTCAAGTTGAGCCTAGATCTGTATTTTGTTTTCAGTGTTGCAACAGCTGAAAAGCCAATCTCACAGAGATAAGATGTGGCGAAGGGAAGAGAAATGTGCACAGCTCTCTGCCCAATTACTGCTGATACACCCTTCCACTCCAAGACAGAATTCACTTCATTTGGTTTCAGTTGTGTGTGTGTGAGCAGGCTCGGATTGGCCACCGGGAGATTCGGGGACTTTTCCGGTGGGCGCTGCCGTTGGTGGGCTGCTGCCTTCGGTGGGCCGCTGGCTCTGGCATAGGTGGGCCGTGGACTTTCACAGCGCTGCTGCGCCGGTACCGCATCCGCAGCCGCATCCGCATCCGCAGCCGCAAACACCCGCCGTTGCGAGGCTCCGGCGCTTTGAAAGTCCACCGCCGTTGCGAGTCTCCGGCTGTAACAGTCCACTACCGCCCGCGAGGACCCAGGTTCGATTCTGGCCTGAGGTCCAAAACATTTATACAAAAATAATCTCCCGTTCATCGCGTCCATTCGCGACCCACCTATTACATCTCTGTGCCCCACCAGTGGGGCGGTCCCCACTCTTTGAGAAACGCTGTATTAATGTGTCATAACCACTTAACGGGAAAAAACTCAGCTAAATGATGATATGAATTTTTTTTACCGGAACGAAACACAAGGGTAATACCAAGCCTCTGAATTAGCCCTGAGCGGAAAAATGCTAACGCACTTAGCACAGAACTCACGGTAGAAATACTGTATTACTTATCGGATCTGCACAAACAAGGTATAATATGAAAGCTGAGATTCCAGATTCTAGAGGTATAAGTATCATCACTGTGCGACCAAAACTCAGGGCAGCGAAGGCAAACCCAGACAACACACAACGCAGCTTTACTGAGCCAAAACGGCAAATACGTCTTGGCATTAAAACGATAGAAACGCTACTGAAGGTTAATCCAATGTGTCTGTGTCACTTTGAAATTATTACTGATAATCTATCATCATTTTATGGCAATAAGCCTAGTTTTCAGTTTTCAGAGAGTAACATAGCTTTCGGTTTGGGCAAACTGCGTGCGCATCACTCTCACTTCTCAATGGTAACGTGTATGTGGATTTAGGAACTCCCCCTTCGATTCTATTGGCTCTAACAGTTCAAAAGAGGTGTCAATCATCATAATCGACCGTGGGGGGCCAGAGATATGGCAAATCCACCCAAATGACCCCAGAAGTTTTTGTTTTTTTGTTAAACCTCTCTAAAATGGTCAAATTTCACTGGTTTTGCATCAATCTTGATACAGGGTACTTATTATATTATAATTTGGAATCCTAAAGCTTTTAGTCTACTATCCCATCATTCAAGGGTGGTTTTCACTATAAGTAATGTTTTTCTTTTGGATGTTCCAAAAAAAATTCTATATTGATTCTGACTCTTCTACATCCAACTCACAGGTTTATCATTGCTTTGAGAAAAAAGATTATTAATTTACCCCTTTTAGAAGTAAAGCTATAGTCATTGGTTCTGGGAATGTCCTTTTCGAGCCTGAGACCTGAAAAACAGGCTCGGGGCTTAACAGGTTAACACAACAAATGTAAAACAACCTATAACAAAGGTCAGCAGGGGTTGGTTTCAAGGGCACAAGACCAAACACAACAAACCAGCATTAACTGGAATATAGTGTCACATCTCATGATACAATGTTTCCTAGTAAAAGTTGCACTTGAACAGAACACAATGATAACAGATGGCCATTAGCTTAGAGAGAAAGGCTTGGTCAGGAAATGATTGGTCAGTGACACAACAAATTAGCCGCCCATTCATATGTCTCATCATATGCTCCAAAAGTTAATTGACAATATGCCTGACAGAAAAATAGCTACTGTAAAGTTGCTGTTGGTTTTACTTTTGGAGGAAAAAGGGAAGCCTATATATAAGGAGACACTGCACTTAATGGCAATGGTCACCTTAACCCTAGCCGACTGACACTGAGAGTTAGTCAGAAGTGTTAGAGCCCTTAAAGTCAATCTAAAATTAAGTTTTGGCCCTTTATTTAATGCTTAGCAAGATGTTGTTTTTCTCCTATTTTTAAAGAACGTTTATAAAGATCTCACATTTTTCTTAATTTATAACGAGTCCCCTTGGTTACAGATTATTGGGTTTTTGTATTGTGCTCTTCACAGATGTGATGGGGATAGGTATAAACTCATTTAAAAGCAAAGCTTGCATACTTCAACAGGATACATGTTCGACAGGTCACTCAAACTAAAGACCACTTCTCAGTACTGTAGAATTGCAGGATAATGGAAACCAGATGTTTTGCTAAGAACTATAGATTAAAAGAAAGGCAGTATTGTATGATTTTAGAATAGTGTAGGCTCTTTTGTTGAGACACCATTTAAAGGCTCCATTTTGGCTCATGGCCAACAAGCAACACGTTCTTACTATGGAAAAAAAACGTGTTTTTCACTCTTGGCTGTACACGTCTGGGCAGACCCTCACATACAGTATATGTATATGGTCATAATTGTGAATCCCCAGAGGGTAAAGACATGTAGCTGCCTGCAGTTTCCTACCCTAATGCCTAAGGATTAAGTTACTGCTGCATATGTTATGATTGAGTGCGATTCTGTAAATGATGGCACTTTAAATGCAACAGTAAGTAGAACAAAAATAGCATAACCTGTAATAAACATGTCATAACAGGCCGGATATGCATCAATTGACTGTCATATGTGGTTGGTATTGACATTGGCTGTCATGAATAACTTTTGTGATTTTCTTTAGGTTTGAGCAGTATCTATGACAGTTTTAGATTGTAGATATGTTGGGTTGGTTAATGTTAAGTTGTCATATTAAAGAGAAACAATGTAAACTTTGAATCAAGTATCATTATTTCAGAATTGGTACATTTTGACATCCACTATCCATAATGTACACAGACATGATTATACTATCGATCGTAGTGTTTAACTGTGAAAGAGAAAGCAAATAATAATATTTCTTAAAATACAAATCTCAAATCTTTAATCTGAGCTAAGTCTCTGCAGTGAAATATATTTAAACTAGACTGTAAAATAAAACTCTTGCTATCAACACATCAGACTCTCAATACCTGTCCTTGTTCTTAGTTTTCCCCCTACACTAGGTCCCTCAGATCAACAAACTGTACATCACAAGTCCTAACCCAAAACAGACCCCACATCCTGTCTCCAGACGGTTTGGACTTACTTTGTGCAGCTCCAGAGGCGTTGGGGACAGAATTCCCTGCATCTCCTCTTTGATCCGACGAGACTCCCACGTCCTCTCTGAAACTCTCAGGGAGGCTTTAGGCTTGGAATCATGGTGCAAGAGGGATTGGTTATCTTGGTGGATGTAGGCCCCCTGGTGCAGGTGGGCCTCATGCTGCAGGTGGGCCTCATGGTTGAAATGGGCCTCCTGGAGCAGGTGGGCGTCTGGGTGGTTAATAGGTTAAAGGTTAATACAAAATGTTTAAGAAAGATTATATCAGTTCATTTTTAACGTTTCTCCCAAATTAGAAAACATTTTTATTAGGTAATGATATCAGTGGCGGCTGGTGGAATTTTTTCTAGGTAAGGCTGTGCCACATGCAATCAATTTCAGCAAACATTCCAGTATGAGTTAATGCAAAACAAACAGGAGTTTTCAGTGTTAATTTACCAGTCTGACATTTTAATGCTTCCATAAAAACTGTAAGCATTTGAGACTGAGGATTATTTACAAAAACTTAAATAAAATGGCATTAGCAATACTTGCATACATCATATACCCTATCTTTAGGGTATATGATGTATATATAATATATATATATATATATGGAAATATATATATACTGTATATATTTATGATATATATCATAATGATATATATATATATATAATATATGTATGTATATATGTATGTATGTATGTATGTATGTATATATATATATATTACAGAACAACGGTATAATCAACAATACAAAAAGTTGAAGATGTTACAAACGAATAATGATTATTCGTATTCTTAAAATCAATGTGGTGTACGTCTTTGACGTGCCTTTAAAAACGGTGGCGGTCTTCAGGTGCTACTCCAGCACAGTGTGCAGGGAGGAAACTAAATCCACCAATCCCCTGAAAAGGCCAGGGTTGACTGAACAGTTTCGACATGCCCACGCAAAGCCAACTCAAAAGCCCCACAAAACGTCATTATCTTTGATAAAATATGCCTGTTTTTATCCAACTCCTCATTGTGTTTCCTCACCGCAATCCTGTGGCCGTCGCGTAGCAGTTTCTTACTTGGGGCGAGAAAATAATCACCTCTCTGGTATTAGTTTAGAGAACACTGATTGGCTACATTTTATGACACATGTTATCTTGAATCAGCAATTGGTTAACCTGCAACAGAGACCCGCCTCCGTTGGGCAATTTCTCCATCGCCACAGAAATGAACTTCAGTTATACAGTGTACTAAGAAAAGCATATATTTTAGGCAAATTATTTTTACACATATTTCTGGCTGCATTCCATATTTTAAACAAACAAATATTTACAATGTATACAATTAATTAATATTATTATTAATAATAATATTTTTGTGTGTGGTTTAGAGAGGGCGGCGCCCTATCGCCCTCTATTGGCCAGCCGCCACTGAATGATATAATATGAGCTTGGGGAGGCAACCTTGCGGCTGTCACATCTGCTGTTTATATACCTTGGTGGAGTTGGGCCTCCTCATGCAGGTGAGCATGCTCATGCAGGTGTGTCCCCTGGTGGAACAGGTTTCCCTGGTGCAGGAGGGAATTTCTCCGCAGTGGGCTCATCCTGCTGTGGGCCAGTATGGGCTCAGCTTGAGGCTTGTTAGCACCTTCTACACCCAGACTGATGGCTGTTCCTGTCATTATTGACGCCTACACACACCAAAACATACACAATTAAATGTCAGTTGAAATTATTGCTAATTTGTTAACAATACTGATTTAAAAAATAACGTTTAAATCCAGCTGGATTGTGCATAAGTGTATAATTTGGGGAGAGTTTTGTTCATGTTTGATGCTAATGCTAACATGCTATTGTAACCAACAGCTAATTTGTATGTGGTATCTTTAAGGTTCAAGCATTTTTATGAATAAAGCTTACGACTTGTTAATCTAAATTGGCGGTGGATGCTTGCATGCTACTTGACCTCAATCTCTCGGAGCAGTTCTGATTGGCCGCACGTCTCCAGATCCTCAAGCGCCTGACACCAGAAACTGTCATCTGGATCCAACATTATACCGTCTGGTTGTTGGCCGATAAATCTGTCACACACAAACAAAAATGAAGTCAAATAAGCTGCTTTGAAAGCAAGTTACTGTCAGGGTCACTTGTAACTAGCTGGTCAAAAATACTTTTTGTGCTAAGTCTTGGTAGATGCGCTTCATGGTCATGACTGATGATGTAAAGTGTGGTTTTCTCTTTACTTGTAGCTTTTTATCTTACCTTGAAAAAGGTGGAAGTACTCCAAAGCCAAATTGTAAAGTAAAAAGGTATTGCCATGAAAAAGGTCTTAAAAGAGGACATATTATGATCTTTTTTTAGGTTCATATTTGTATTTTGTGCTTCTACTGTGACATGTTAACATGCTCAAACAAAGGTCTTAGCCGTTGGCTACTAACCAATAGAAGCACAATTTTGATATAGTGATGTGATGTCACTAACAAAGGAGTCCAATGGAGGTTTTCTAGGCAGGTGCGAGAGAAACTTTTTACATGCACGAAAACCCATAGAACAGAGGAAAGGGAAAACCCCAAACGCATAATAGGGCCTACTTGAAGTACCAAAAGTAAAAGTACTGCATACTGGAACATTTCCTAATTATATATATATTAAATTACTGCATTGTTATTATTGATGCAGTAAAGTGTTCTTCACAGCTGGTAAAGGTGTGGCTATTTGCAATTACTATTACTATATGTTTATTTATTAGTTGATTTTTTTCTCTCTATAAGCTATTGATCTGATAAAGCATCTATAAAGTGACTGGTAACCAGTGCTGTCAAATAAATTTGACGGAGTGGTAGTAGATGAAAAATACTCATGTAAAGAACAACACTTGAGTTAAGATACTTGTCTACATTCCACCACTGCTTGAACACTAGGATAATGTAACTAAACATGAGTCATTGTAATAATCAAATGATGGAATGGTGTGGAATTGAGTCTGCACATAGAGGCAGAAATGAACGTGGTATGTGAAGACAGAGCAGTGTTAAGGCTATTTGTTCTGGTTAACTGCATCACGAGTATTGTTTCAACACTGAGCGTCCTCGGCTGACAGCATTAATTCACTTTCACTGTGCAGCTGATATTTGTCTCACCTCATTCTCACTCTCTGTCTCTCCACCCCCATTAGTGTTATATAACCCCAGATGAATGTTGCTATCTTCACAAGGATTAACCTCCTGACTCATCACAGGATTAGGGTTAGGGTAATGTTGTGAATCGAGTGGCCTGTGTTCATCGTCCATAACATACGCCTGCCCATACCATAACCCCACCACCACCATGGGCCACTCGATTCACAATATTACCCTAACCCTAATCCTAACCCTCACACCAGATACTGACTGGTTTTCTGACCCCCCCAGACCCCCCCAATAAAGCAAAAATGCACGTTTCAGAGTGGCCTTTTATTGTGGCCAGCCTAAGGCACACCTGTGCAATAATCATGCTGTCTAATCAGCATCTTGATATGCCACACCTGTGAGGTGGAATGGATTACCTCGGCAAAGGAGAAGTGCTCACTATCACAGATTTTTTCAGATTTGTGAACAATATTTGAGAGAAATGGTTATTTTGTGTATGTAGAAAATGTTTCAGATCTTTGAGTTCATCTCATGAAAAATGGGAGCAAAAACAAAAGTGTTGCGTTTATATTTTTGTTCAGTGTATGTTCGTATGACAAATAAAGAACCTTGAACCTTGATTATGCAGTTATTTAATACATTACCAAAAAAAAGACCAACTTGTTTGTATCAATATATCATTAAACATTGATCGTCTTTTGGTTTTGGAATTTGAAAACACCACCTTGGGCCCAGGACTTATGCTGGCCATTTTTTACTTTTGGATAAACAAAACAATTATTTTACTAATACCATTAGAGTTCAGAATCAGAATCAGAATCAGGAACAGGTTTATTGCCAGGTAGGTTCACACATACAAGGAATTTGACTTGATGGTCATGGTTTGCAGACATAAAATATAAAACAATAAACTTAATATAAAACAAAAATTCTTTAACACCGTTATAAAATATTAGTTAAATAACAATAAAATTAAAGCAGTAATGTACATGGAAATAGAATGTATGAATTGAATTATTAGGATATAAAATATGAAATATTGGAAACAGAAACTATGTGCAGTAAGCAGTATTGTAACATTGTGTCCATTAATGTATGTCTACGTTGTGGCTGAGGTAAAGTGTCAGTTGGGGAGTCGTGGCCTTGTTTAAGAGGCTGGTTTAGCGGAGGGGAAGAAACTGTTCAGGTAACGAAAGGTTTTTGTCCTGATGGGAGCGCAGCCTCTGCCAGAGGGGAGTGGGGTGACGTTTGTGTCCAGGGTGGGAGGGGTCGTCCACTATCTTCCCTGCCCGCCTCAGGGTCCTGGAGGCATGCAGGTTGTGTGAGGGATGGCAGATTGCAACCGAATCACCTTCTCTGCAGAGCAGTGACACGCTGCAGCCCTGCCCTTATCCTCGGCTGTGGCGCTGCAGACGTTACCAGATGGTGATGGAGGAGGTGAGGATGGACCGATGATGGGGTGTAGAAGTATCACCCATTCCATGTCTCTTGCAGGTTGGATTTTTCAGCTGCCTCAGGAAAACATTGGTTTGCTCCCATTTTTGAGGAGGTTCCTGGGCGATGATGATGCCAGGAAGCGGAAAGACTCCCAACAGCAGAGTCACACAGAGTGATGACAGGTTGGGTGGGGCTGCGTTTTCCTAAAGTCCACAAACATCTCCACGGTACTTGAGAGCGTGAGCTCCAGGTGGGTTTTCTCCACACCAGGTCGCCAGTGGGTCCATCTCCCACCTGTAGGCAGGACTCCGTCCCCACCAGCGATTGAGTCCGATGAGGGTGAGTGTCGTCTGCGAACTCAGGGAGCTTGACAGGACTGGTGACTAGAGGTGAGCTGTTGGTGTAAAGGGAGAAGAGCAGAAGGGGAAAGACGCAGCTTCGAGGGGGGAACCGGTGCTGATGGTTCCGCGGGGTCAGGACGTATTTCCTCAGCATCACGTGCTGCTTCCTGTCCAGACGAGGAAGTCATGGAGTGATCCACCCTGCAGGTGGGTGGGCATGTGCAGCTGGCGAGAGCTTGTCTTGCAGCAGAGCCCGGGTGATGATGTTGAAGCCAGAGCTGAAAGTCCACGAAACAGGATCCTGGGTGTAGGTTCCTGCTGTGTCAGCGTGTTTTGGAGGAGAAGTGAAGGGGCCATTTGGACAGCGTCGTCCAACAGACCTGTTGGCTCTGTTAGGTGAACTGCAGGGGGTTCCCAGGAGTGGGTCTGTGATGGGATTTTAGGTGGGACGGGACAAGGCGCTCAAAGGACTTCATAACCCAGAGGTCAGGGGAGTAGTCATTTAATCCTGTTGTCCTTGTTTTCTTGGGAACCGAGATGGAATGGTGGAGGTTTTGAAGCATGCTGGGACCATGGCATTCTCCGTGAGGATCTCCGGGCTCAACAGCGCCCTCTGTGACCGGATCCTGAACTTCTGACGGGCAGACCCCGGGCAGTGCGGTGGTACATCCACATCCCTCCACGCTTGATCCTCAACACCGGTATCCCCAAGGGCTGCGTGCTCAGCCCTTCCGGCAGATCGCATGACGGCGACTAGACAGCGTACAGAGAGGAGGTCGAAAACCTGACATCTTCGGTGCCAGGTAACAACCTCATCTGACGGTCGGCAAACAAAGGAGCTTGAATTGTGGAAACAGGAAGCAGCAAGGGGAGGACACGCCCCCCATCGCAATCAATGGAATACGGTGGAGAGAATCAGCAGCTTCAGGTTCCTTGGGGTCCACATCACTGAGACATGACATTGAACTCTTCAACACCACCCCATCACAAAGAAAAGCTTCGACAGCGGTTCTTCTTCCTCGCAGGTTGAGGAGGTTCAAATGGATTCCACCATTTAGGAGGTATCCTGAACCTTCTACAGGTGCAACATTAGAGGGTATCCTGACCTTCTACAGGTGCGCCAGTTAGAGAGTATCCTGACGAGGCTTCTCACGGCCTGATGTTTAGGCTTACAGAGGTGGTGAAAACTGCCACAGCACATACCAGGACGGAGCTGCCATCCATGGAGGACCTTTACTCCCAGAGGTTTAGGAAGAAATTCCCTCCGGATTAAAAGACCCAGCCCACAACTGTTCTGTCTGCTGCCGTCTGGAGGCGTTACCGCAGCATCCTGACAAGACACCAGATTCAGTGACAGTTCATCCCACAGCCAATAAAACTGTTAAAAAACTGAACTTGCTGAACAATTCATAACATTCATCTGCTACTTAGTTAGATTTATTTTATCTATCTGTATAATATATCACTCCAATAACTTTATATAGGGGTGGGGAAAAACTGTATTGCACTATTCACTTTTTTATTTTTCAAATCTTTTTTAAAGAAAAAACATTTTTCTTTTGTATTACTTTTGCAATATAGTATTTCTTAATTTGGTTAATATTGTCTGCTTATCTGTATTATTGTGTTGCATGTGAAACTGTACCTAAGATTTTCAACGACATAGTACTCTGTAACACGGGAGACCGCTCGAAAGCGCCTGGAGACGCTGTAGCACATATGTGACTCTGCTCTATCATTTTCCGTCACTTACCTGAAGAGACATTTGAGTTTGATACACTGTTGGAAAGATGGATCTTGCTTTCTATAATTATAGTCAATATTGTTCTTGTCTCCAAATATTAAAGCAACAATACGTCACTTTCATAATGAATGTCCACCGAAAACCATTGATTTTGAGAAAAAAAGGCCTTCAAAGTTTGCAGTCTTTCTTAGGTATTTATTCAAAGATGAACCATCCATAAAACGAGTTCATCTAGACTGTTTGCACAAAAAAACCAAACCACACCACACACACACACACACACACACACACACAACCACACACACACCACACACACACACACACACACCACCCAACACACACAACACACACACACCACGCCACACACACACCACACACCACTATTACTGTCTCTCTTTGTCAACTGTCATACATCAATACATGGACAAAGG